TCACCCACTTGACACTTATATAACTTGTTTTCTTGATGGTTTAACTTAATAAATTTAAAATTTTTCTCTTTAAATGCTTTTCCTTTTGTTGGACTATTTTCAGGTCCTCGTGCCTTTATGCCAGCTGTGTTATAGATTTCACTTCATTCAATAATGTTTTACCATTTATGCTGCTTACAATCCTGAAGCAAATACTGTTTCCCTTCACCTCTTTAATAGCTTTAACATTAATTTTAAGTTTGTGTAGTTTGACATTATCAACATTACTCTTGGTAAATTTTTTTCATATTAATGGTGGTGTTAGATTTATCATCTGAGTAAATGATAAGGGCATGATTCCCCCAGTACCTTCGAGGTTAATCTTAGAACTTAATGATATGTTGATGTTCTTAGTCGTTCAGCTGGATGTGGGGTTTAATTTCACTTTCTGTGAGAAAGTAGGTTGTTTGCAGTCTTATGTACTAATAGAGTGGCTAATGTATAACTCATGACTAATCTCCAACACTCTGTTGAAGACACCTCCTCTCGAATTTTCAACCTTTTTTTTTTTTTTATGCATATAGTGGAATTAGTAGATTTTGGACATAATTCTAAGATATGGCTAAGACTATGTTTAGTCTCTTTTAAGATTTGCACTTCTGGTTCTATCACTTGCAAAATATACGTGAGCCAGTGCAAACAGTAGAAAGACGACGAATTAGTGTGCTAGGAAGCTGACCCAAACTGTGCAATGAGTGATCCATAACCAAACTGGTGTGACAACAGCCACATGTTCAGTGAACAAAGACCTGTGTTTAGTGTGAATTTTTGGTCTCTATATCTCATGTTCTAACAATGATAGACTGATGAAACTTTATACAGTTAAAGATAACTGTGAGATTTCTTAACTACGTAAATCTTAATGATCTATATCTGAAAATCCATAAATTAGAGCAATTGAAATGTGGAACTTTCCAGTCACTGTAATTTGAGAAAAACACAAGAGAACCAAACAAGCAATATATCAATTGATGCAACTTGAGACACTAAGCACATCAAAATTGATGGAGTAATTGTGATCCAAAGTTAAATCATGTGATTCAAAAAGAAAAAATAATCTTAAAATTAAAAATATCTTATATATAAATACCGTATTAGCCCGAATATAACGCGACTCCAAAATTTTCATAAAGATATTTAGAAAAAAAATAATACTCATAAAAGAATTCAAAGAAAGTAAAATTCAATCAGATAAGCATTTATTTATGTAATTACAGTAGAGTGTCGTTTATCCGAATCAATTGGGAACTGGGGTGGTTCGGATAACTTATTTTTTGGATAACGAATCATGTACGAAAAAATATATTAATTTATCCCATGTTGAAATTTTTCTCCGTTGCATGTCGCTTTGCGTTGAATTTTTGTCGATGTTAAGCCTAACGAAGACTATTGTATCGTTAAAAATTATTTTTTTATTTTGTACAAACAAAATAAATATATTGAAAAATATAAAAACAATAAAAAATTACACTTCAGAAGTTAATTTAGTATCAAAAATGTAAAATATTTGAATAGCCAAAGACATAGCCAAAGATTACAGCGCCACAGCACTGGCGAAAATTTAAATTTGTCGACTGGAATTCCTTCGGATAANAATTTGCCGACTGGAATGCTTTCGGATAACCAGCTTTCGAATAAACGACGCTCTACTGCAGGGGTGGCCAACCTTTTGCATACCATGCGCCAATTTTTTGATAGACGAGTTCACATGCGCAGTGGCGTACCGTGAGTGTTAGCAGCCCGGGGCGGAGAAAAATTTCGGCCACCCCTTATTTAGGTATTTCAATTTATAAGACGAAAATTCAGATTCGCCACAGAACAAGCAATGAAAAATGTGGTTGTAGTGTAGCTACCCGTATAAAATAGTTCTATATGACACCAGTGGTACATGAACACGAATGCATCGTGTAACGTACACGCAAAAAAAAAAAGATCAACAGGTCGATTGCTCCGAATTGTGTAAGAAGTGCACTTGCCAAGACACACTGTCAAAAATTAATTTAAATTAATTTCCTATGTAATATTCATAATTGCAATGAAGCCAAATCTGGCAATGTTGCTCGGAAGCGCCACTTGTAGTCGTCCAATGCGCCAAGTTTGGCGCATGCGCCACGTTTTGGCCACCCCTGCTCTACTGTATAGCTAATAACACAGGCAACCTCTGTAGGAAAATGTCCTTGTTTATATTTCATTCCATTACATTTAATTATTTGATTTACATCATTGTTTTAAATTATTGTCAATGGATCATAAAGTTATTTTGGGTTTGTATTGCTTAAATTCACTTAATGTTATTATTTTTAGCGGTCTTGCTAGACCATGTCAAGTTATAATTAATACACTTACTTACAATTTGTATATTATTCATGTAAACCGAAGTATTATTTGTTACTGTGAAATTGTATTTTCCCTCAAAAAGGGAAAATTTTCCTTGGAAATAAATATTGATTGATTGATTGATTACATTCCATTACTTAAACCCCGAATTTAGCGTGAGTTGATTTTTTAACGGAAAATAAATGGTCGAAAAATATCGCGTTATATTCGGGCTAATNTGAAATTGTATTTTCCCTCAAAAAGGGAAAATTTTCCTTGGAAATAAATATTGATTGATTGATTGATTACATTCCATTACTTAAACCCCGAATTTAGCGTGAGTTGATTTTTTAACGGAAAATAAATGGTCGAAAAATATCGCGTTATATTCGGGCTAATACAGTAATATAAAAATTAACTACTCACCACACCTATATAACAATCACATACTGAACCAATTTACAGTGTGGTACGATTGACTTAACAAGTACAAAAACAAACGTTTTTGAACCACTTCTGGGCTCTTCATCAGGTTCCTATAGTTTTAGCTCGTAAATTCGATTACTGAATGCTTTTCAAATAAGAACTTAAGAACGAAGTTATTTGAAAAGCATTCGGTAATCGAATTTACGAGCTAAAACTGTAGGAACCTGATGAAGAGCCCAGAAGGGGTTCGAAAATGTTTGTTTTTGTACTTGTTAGTCGATCGTACCACACCGTAAATTGGTTCAGTGTATGTGATTGTTATATAGATGTGGTGAGTAGTTCATTTTTTTTAAATTTGAAAAAGGTGAATCTACATTTTGTATTTTAGAAATAAATAATTATAGTTCGGATTATCTGTGCCACCTCTCCCCACCATTAGCCCGGATAATCGGGAGCTTGCTATATATGAATTACAGTATCAAGTCAAACATTTATCATACATCAAACTCCAGCAGTTAGTAGTCCATGTCATTAGTTCTGAATTGATCAGCATAGCTGCTTAAGACAATACAATGCTAAATTTATAATCATTCCTTGGTTTACAAATTCACAAAAAGAATGCATTTGAAGTCCCAAAAATCCACAAACAATGTTCCAAGCCATCATCATCTACTTTATCATCTTTGGCTTTGGAGACCCTGTGTGAGAGTAGCCAAGGACATAGGTCTCAATCTACGCCCCTTAAGGCTGGTATACACGGTAAGGAAATCCTCAAAGGATGTGCTTAAAAGACGAAAAAAACTAGGATATAACTGGCTGGATTGAACATAGCATTTTACAAAACTTATTAAAATATCTCCCAATGTATAAAGAATTATTTTTATTTAAAAATGGATAGATAGAAAAAAAATCACGGTTAATCCTCAAAGGATTTCCTTACCGTGTATACCAGCCTTTACGGGCACTAGTCGGTAAGACCAGTTCTCTAACTTTAATAGGAGAGTGTTATCAAAATTGATCCAAACGGCGAAGTTCAGATGCTCGTCAGGTTCCCGACACCAGTTAATCAATCTTATTATACGCGGATTAACACGCATATGAGATCTGATTCGGTCACACAATTAGGAGACATTTTAGTTGGAAACGAAATAATAAATTTAATAAACAAGAAAATAAATCATACAAAAGGTGGATAAACGAGAGACAGAACTACTACAACCAATATACACATCGGTAGATAGCTATACTTATATTCTACCCTAGTCGCGATTGAGAGAGAGCTCACAAAAATTGTTATAAAACATACGACCTGTTTCAGTTGTCGTTCGTCTTCTTCTCTGTATGCAAGTTCAGTTACTTCTTCGTATGGGAGATCAATACATGCACACATATAAAAGTATATTTCCTACGTGCAGACTTATTCCGTATGTGACTCGTCTGAGGACGTTGGTCATCAGGAGGGAAACGTATGTGGAGTTTGTATGCTTTCGGATCTGTCGCTGAACTCCCCGAATTCAGACAAGTTCCCTCTATATCTTCTGAATGCCGACCAATCATCGGCCAGTAACTCTTTCGTGAGAACGAATGAAAGGGGGGATGAATGAGGGGTAACCATTTCCCATCTGAGCTGGATTTTAACCAGATAAGGGAAAGTCAGAGGATGTTCTCTTCTGTGAAAGGAAGTAACATCTGTTATCTGCCTTTTCCCACGTTAAAACAGTATTTTTCTCA